CCAAAACTTTCAATTGTTTGAAACAAATGGTAGTAAAATTCTTGAGTATTTTTTTAACTTTTGATTGATGAATATATATCATTTGCTTACATTATCGTGCTTCTATCAGTTTATATTTTCTAAGATGAGCGTCGATTTGTATTTCGCAAGAAAAAGTACAAATATGTAATGAGACATCTTAGGGTGGGAATCGTGAGAATATAGACTTGTACTGCATTGAGTGTCAGATGCTGTTTATCGGGATTGTAATGAGTGGTCTTTTAAACTCGATCTCTTGTAACATGAGTTTATTTAGAATTTTTAAATTTGAGTCCACCCCAAAATTATTTCTTGGCTCCGCCCCTGGTCATAGAATATTCTATCTTTCTCTTAACTCAAAACAGAATGCCTACGGTAAAAAAATTCAATTATTTTACTGTATCCTTAGGTGTGGATTTTTTTATGGACGAAGGGTTTGCATCCACGTTGAGATCCGATGGTGGTGAGGTTCACAGAAATCTTCAAGGAAGCATCTAATTTCTCATCTAGTGCTCATAACATGTTTTAGGTAGATCTGAGTGTCGCGATTTTATTAGAATATATTGATAAAGGAAGGCGTGGGCAAAAACCAATACATGTGTTGTGGTTGCAATGATCTAGTTGATTTGGATCGTCTCATAAATTTAGCCCCTTTTAGACAGTCATTTTTTGGGAAGAATGAGTTTTTGAATAATAAATTTTTAGAGCATGTGTGGTTAAAAAGTAAGAAATATTTTGAGGTTTACGTGAAAAATATTTTATTGTGCGAATGTGTGGTTAAAAATGAGTATGAGAAAAAAAGAATTTTTAAATAATGGTTACCAAACATGAGTTTATTAGGAACTAAACGGAGTGGCAAATAAGAAATCATGTAGCTGATCCCAAATCAAAAGAAAGGGAACCATTGGAGGTGGCGACGGTGGCATTGGTGGCGTGGAGTATGTGGTCTGGTCGATCATGATTATTGAAATACGATCAATATCATATTAAGATTTGGTGTTTCATCTTAACAAATCAATTTTGTTGAGAGGATTAGCTCAAACTCTGTCGATTTTTAATTTTATAGTTATTCAACACGATATTTGTCCCTTGAAAATAATTAGATGTAGGAAGACTTCCAGCCCATTGAGAATTTCATATTTTTAAATGCATTTCAGTTTGACGTAATTTATAACAAAACAGTTTTAAACGTAATTCACGTTTGCCATAATTTGTAACACACCTTACATTTTATTCCTTGGAACAATAAATTACATAGTCAAAACTAATTTTCAATACTACAATTTCAAAAAATTAAAAAAAAATTATAAAAGTCAATTGTATGGAACTTAAATTATTGTGTCATTGCTTCGAATTAATCAATCTGTTCAAGCTGAAGTTATGTCAATTGAGAGCCATTGAAGTCCAATGTAATTAGGTATATGCAGCCCTATATATTTGATCATCTCTTCAAATTTGACCAAAATTATACGATAACTGACTTTTTTTGTTATTTGCTTATATTGAAGAAAGAACGAATGAAACAAAGAAAAACTTTTCATAGAAGTCGTAGTTTTGTATCTTCCACGTTGTATTTCATACGTTAGCGTACATCAACTCACTTGGACCGAGTAGTTTCTATGCACAAGAACTATGCCCCAATCATTCTCTAAAAAAAATTATGAATATATGTGCAAATTATTTTATTTGGAGAATGCGTAGTTTTATCGTTCGGAGAAAAATAAATTTGAAAGAATGGCTAAAAATAATAATTATTAAAATGATAGGGGTTGAGTTTACACGATAAAATTGGTTGACTAGCTAGCCACCTTAGCTTACCAATTATTGATGGAACTCCATGTTAATTCTCAGCGTAGACCTTTTTCTAGTTTCTAGATATCAAGTGACTATTATTTTTCAAAATTCAAACCATACATTTGTCAATAGAGGTTGTTTGGAAAGTTTTTATGAACTTTAAATAATAAATAAATATAAGCGAGTAAATAATAAGTGGGTATTACTTGTAATTTTATAAAATGTGAAAATAAAAATTGAGTTGAGTTTAATTAGTTAATAAACCGTGTTACATAGAGGCTTTTTTCAAAAAATTAACTGAAAAAATAGAACAAAATGGTTCGGAATTGCTATATGTCTCGAGCAAACAAGAAAATGTAGATTGCATCTCTCCCATACACAAGTGGCACCAAGCCATCCGGCTCAATTCGACCCATTTTACACCTTTAAACATAAAAACAGCTATAATTTCGTACTAAACATACTGCAACAATAGAGAAAAATGTACCGTCGTTCATAAATTTTGCCTCAATTCATTAAGTTAAATTTCATAATTTTTAATTCCTGTATTTTATTCCCACGTTATTAGAATATTTATTTTATAGTTTCACACCATCAATTCCTGTATTTTATTCCCGCGTTACTTTGGGGTGAGAAATTGATGGTGTGAAACTATAAAATAAATATTTCTAGAAGGAAAGCATCACGGCACATAAATTCTGAAGAATACTATTCTTTTGAAGTCCAGGGGCGGACCTGGGGGTGGCCTGGGGGCAGGTGCCCCCCACCCCCACAAAAAAAAGTTTTGAATTTTTTATTTTTTATTTTATGAAAGGAAAACAAATCAACATTCATTTCAAACTAATGTTTTCTCTCGCCCCAGTCTCCTCTTCTCCTTTTCTCTCCTCTTCTTCATGGTAAAATTAAAGTTGTATATTGTTAAATGGATACGAGAATGGTTGTGATAATACTGAATGACTGAATAAGAATAGTTCAAAATTTCAAATCTCATTTATCTTTATTTAAATGATTTATAGTTACTCTCAAAGAGTGGAAATTGCATTGCCAAATGAAAACAGTGAAAAGTCTGTCTCACTTTATAGCCATTTCAAGTTCGATCGCGACAAAGAATTCTAAGATCTGACCCAAGGAAAAAGCTAGTAAGCAAGGCTTCCGTGAGCTATAGTGTTGAAACCAGTACTAAACGAAGTAATCATTGTAAAATGATCGTATACTTGGATTAGATCAATGAATAGGAATAGAAGAATTCTTAGTNGAAGGATTACAAGGCATTAGTGATCTTACACAGAAATTGGTTGCGAAGAATAAACATGAAGTGTATTCATTAGTCTATAAGCTTGTGATATCAACCTTAGTTCTTTCCATAGCTACTACTATAGTCGAGAGATCATTTTCTGCGATAACTTGTGTCAAAAATCGTCCGCGCAATCGAATCGGAGATCAATGGTTGAATGATAGTTTGATTGCATATATTGAGAAAGATGTATTTGACAAGATTGAAAATAATATAATTATGGAACGTTATCAAAATATGAGAACACGCAAAGAACAATTCTAATAAAATATTTCTTACGTTAATTTTTTTCGTCACTTTTTGAAAGTTTGATTGTGCCCCCCAACATAAAAAGTCTGCGTCCGCCCCTGTTTTGAACTATTCTAGACGCCGTTAATTTATAATACATTTTTTCTCTCTCTTCTGTTTAATCATACATTCTCCAATAAATTAATATTACACATAAATAAATAAAAAAAATTTCTTCTTTTCAACTACACTTCTCTAAGAAAAATATTATTTTAAAAATTATAATGTCAAATAATGAGGTGCAAACGGGGGCTAAGCAAGGAAGCAACATAGAACACAACCAATTCACACACCAACTCGCTTAAATCTCCGCTGATTTCTTGATAAGTATATTGCTTTTATGAAATTTGTATCGTTAGTCCTCAACCTTGACTTAGTTATAAGTTAGTTCTTAACCTTTAAGAAAAGTATATTGGTCCTCATCTTGTCGTTTTATTTATTCAGTCATTGTTCCCGATATGAAAAACAACATACCTTCTTAGTTTTAAGTTTTCTAAACCATGGCATTTTGTTTCCTTTCCATATTCTTATCGAACAATCCATAAATTTACCTATGATTTTTTAACTCATGTTTCAATATGAAAATATATCTTTATTTCTTTACCATGTGGTTCTTGTATTCAACTCAAGTGAAGATCTACACTCAAAGGCTTTAAGAATAGTACATACAAGGAAAGGCATGGACTTGCCAGTCAGCTTAAAGTGCGGTTGACTAAAGCAAATCGGAACGTTACAATTCGTGTTTTCCTCTTTCAGTTTCCAATCTTTTATAAGATATCTTTCCTTTCTAATTTGATTTCATTGCTAGTCGGTGCATACCCCTACTCTCTAGGTCATCCACGTTACATGTGAAATCTTCACTCCAAATAGGGAAGTCCCACCTTAAACTGAAACTAAGAAGTGTTGACACTTCAGGAAGATGTCAAGATCGTAACTGTTTAAATCTTTTTTAAATTGTCGCATAATTCTTATAAAAATATGACTTGCTTTAAACTTTTGGACAACGATTAAAATTTTATGCAAAATCTAGATTCATAGAATACGAGGATCAAGGTTCATGTGATGATTTAGTGCATATTTGGACAATTTTTTGTTATTGAAGATTGATTATACAACTGTAATAAAACTTTAGCGACCAATTTGCTTACATCATAGAAATTGAAGACCATTTGCTACAAGAGTAACAAGTTAGGGACCCGTACTCTTCAACATGGGTGCCGAGTCATTCATACTTGGGAGGCAAGAAAAATCTAGAAATATGGAAGATTCATTACGTTTGACTCGCTGTGGCTCGCCACTGATGACTCGCCAACTCAGCAACGCGGTCACGCTTACGTTTTCAATGACGGACGCGATCACGGATCACCGTACCACTTGATCTATATGATACTTTTCCAGCGAGAAGTATTCAGCGTGTCACGTCACTGCAAGAGGTCAACTAAATAAAGTCAAAGCGTACAATTACTAAAGCATATCTTCTCACGTGTAATTACGCACCTATATATATGTATATCACCTTTGAGTCATTTTCTCATTATATAGATTCCTATACATACATATTCTGCTGTTCTTGTAGAAAGATATCATGGTATTAGATTTAAAAATTATGATGAAGAGGGGTAGAGAGGAAGAAGAAGCTAATCAGAATCAGAACATGAAAAACATGGCGAATTGCTTGATGTTACTCTATAATGGTGGCGGCGAGTTTGATTCAGCCGTTGACAGCTCTGCAGCCCGTGTTTTTGAGTGCAAGACATGTAGCAAGCAGTTCCCGTCGTTCCAGGCGCTCGGAGGCCACCGGGCCAGCCACAAGAAACCGAGACTTATGGGAGAACAACATTCCGGAGAGTTGCGGACATCACCGGCGAAGCCTAAAACGCACGAGTGCCCTGTTTGTGGGATGGAATTCGCGATTGGACAAGCTCTTGGAGGGCACATGAGGAAGCACAGAACGTCGGCCGCTAATGAAAACCACCAGCCGCCGACGGCGCAGCCCGCCTTGTCTTTGTCTCCTCCATATCCACATCCAATTGTGAAGAGATCGAATAGCAGGAGGGTTGTCTGTTTGGATTTGAACTTGACTCCGTTGGAGAACAAGTAAGAAGAGAAGCCCTTTTACCAAGGTACTATTGATTGTTGACGGAAAATTTGAGAGTTGCACATAATTCAATGTATATTTGCACTTAGGATAATTAGCGCATGTGCCTATCTTTTATTATTATTGTGAAAAACGTCATTATTTTTTATTTTTGATATTTTCATCTTTATTTCTACATTTCATTCGACAAAATGTCATTTTCATTTATTTTCTCAATGGAAAGATGTAAATTGATTAATATACCCTCCTGTTTAAATAAAACAAAAAGAGGACGAAAAAACTAATTGCAATCTTAATTTGATTTTTTTTAAAAAGTGCAAACGAATCTCAAATAAAGTATTAAATGTGCAATTAGCACAAAATGTACCTACCATTTATAATTATTGTGAAAAACGTTATTATCTTTTTTTTTTTTTTTGACATTTTCATCTTTAATTATATATTTGAGTGCACAAACCATAATTTCTATCAATTTTCATCAAATTTTTCAATAAAAAGTTGTGAATGACGAATATACCCTCTTTTTAAATAAAAAAGAAAATTTATTTTTTAAAATTCTAATTTTTTTTAATAATTTATTTAGGACTCATTTACAATTTACAATTTTTACTTTTAATTTTTAATAATTTATTTGGGATTCATTTGCACTTTTAAATATTTTAGTTTCTAATTTTTTAATAATTTATTTGGGACAGCTTGCACCTTTTTAATTTTTTTAATTTCTAATTTTTTTCATAATTTATTTGGGACTCGATCTCACTTTTAAAAAATAAATTAAAACTATGGTTACAATTAGTTATTTATTTTTTTTATTTAAATATGAGGGTATATTTATCATTTCACAGTTTTTTTTTTTAATTGAGAAATTCTATGAAAATGAATAGAAATGATAATTTGCGTAATTAAATGTGTAATTAAGAGAAGTGCCAAAAAATGAAAAGTGTGGACGTTTCTCACAATAATAATGAAAGGTATGGCATTATGTGTTAATTACCCTTTTAATAATTTATATGGAACTCATTTCCACTTTTTTTAAAAAAAATTGAGACTATATTTTCAATTAGTTCTTTCTTTTTCTTTTCTTTTATTTAAATAGAAATGTATATTCATCATTTCACAACTTTTAATTAAGAAAATTGATGAAAATGACCTTTTATGAAATGAAAGGTGAAAATGTCAAAAAATTAAAGGGGATGACGTTTTACAGAAAAGTATTGAAAGGTAAATTACCATTTCCATTAACATTAAAGTCAGTTATACGTTAATATGTTTTGTTCAATGCTACATATATTAGAAGTTTTAGTGCAATTATATTCTATTCTAGCTTTGAGCTATCAGTTGAATACTTGACTACCAATTGAATTTCGGTTAAATTTGAAAATAATAATTACTCAGCATACTCCGCTGAATAAGACTAATATTTTAATGTCGAGCTATCAGTCGTCCAACATGGTATTCTTTGTGACAACTTGTCATTAGTTTCCTTTAGTTTTGTTGCCTCAAATAACAAGTTAATATCTCAATAATAAACTGACACATAGAACAACTACTGCAATCATTAACTATGAAGATCATCATTACTCATCTTTATGCGACGGGGAAGTACACAAACTAGGCATGGGAGTATGCGTGATGTCTGCACTTCCAACTTGCTCACCATCTTTATGGGACAGAACGAGTATAAAAATTAGCACTAATGATTCTTAGCATCAATTTTGACGACGATGGATCCATCCAAACTTGAACAATGAAGTTAAGATGTATTTTAATTTATCGGATAAGTTTAAGTAGATTTCACTACCAGCTAAATTGGTGTCAGATAATTCTTTATGCAGCTACCAGAACAATCGGTTACATAGAAATAAAACATTTTTTATTGTCACCATTCTTTTATGTTTAAGAATTCATTTGACAAAACTATAAATGGTTTATAAAAAAAATAATAAGAATAATAATGGGTCCATGAACAATGGCGGACCCAGCACCCGAAGAGGGGTGCGACCGTGCGTGTTGGGCTCCACTAGAACAGTGACCAGTAGAAGGAAGAAGGAGACCGGCGACTGTCGAGGTTTGGCTTTTTTTTTTTTAGATGGGCCTTTTGTTTGGGCTTATTCACAGCTTGGGCCCTTTATTTTTTAATTGATCGGGTCATAGGCCCAATGATCCATCATCCATATATCATTTATACCAAAACCAATTTGAAGGAAAGGTTTCCAAGTTCAAACCCTCATCACATTCCAATTTCCACCGCTCCACGCTGACGCCTCTACCTTCTGTTGCAGACTATTGCGTCGGACGACGTCGACGAGTCGCCAGATCGAATGACTAAAGTCTAGGATGGTCAGACCTCTTGTTTGCAGCCTGCTGTGCTAGGACCCGGGACCAATGACCACTGGCAGTAAGTCGTTATCTCTCTCTCTTTTGGTTTTGGTGTTATTTTTTATTTATGAGTTATGACTATCCTTACTTATGAATCATGATTTATATTCTATGAGTTAATTGACAATTTGACATTGAAATGAGAATTGTGAATATGTGATTTGCGATAAATAATTTATGTTGCACTATCATTGAGTTATGAATTGTAATTTATCATTTATGAGTTTAGATTTGTGATTTGAGAATTTTTGTTTGGAAAATTAGGATAAGTGAAAAAAAAAAATCAATTGAGAAGATGTTTGCTCAAATCAATCATGTGTACTCTATTTTTAATCAATTGTAATTGAAAAATAAATTGTGACATTTTGTAGATTATTAAGTGTGTGTTTGGTAGGGATTTTTTGGGGGAAGAATTGATTTTGAATAGTGATATGATGGGAAATGTGTGGTTGAAAAAGAAGATAAGATTATTCATGTGATAGAAAATATTATTTTATTGAAAAATGTGTGATTGAAAATGAGAATTGATTTACTGTTGAAAATGAGAATTTTTACCAAACATAGCCTAAATGATTTTTTCAATCGAAATGAAAGTCTATACATGTTTCTTCTAGCTCTAGTGGTGCATCTAGTCTCGTTAGTACTTCTAGTCGAGCACACGATATGTTAAATAACACAAAAAAGTCTCGGGCTCAATTTGATGTGGATGATCTTGTATTTGATCCAAGGAAACACCTCCATATTGAGTCATATAATTTTAGTATCAGAGATAATGTTGGGATGTCATACTTAGAGAAATGTCATAGTCAACCATATGGACATGACTTTCCAAAAAGAACGATGGGAAGTGATAATAGATGTTTTCGGAAAGAATGGTTCGCTGAATTTGATTGGTTGGAGTACAGTGTAGAAAAGGATGCGGCTTATTATTTGTATTGCTACTCGTTCAACCCAATAGAGGAGGTCAAGGGAATGGACATATATTCACTAAGATCGATTTTAGGGATTGGAAGCACAAAAAGACATTGAAAGATCATGTCAATCTCTTTGATAGTGCTCATAATCAATCTTTCACAAAGTGTACCAACTTGATGAATAAAAAGTAAAGTATCTCCAGCGTTATTTCTAGCCAAATGAGTAGTCAATAAAAAAGTTATAGGATGATGTTGACTGCGGTGCTAGATTGTACTAGATTCCTCTTGATGCAAGAATTGACATTTCGTGATCATGACGAATCGAAATAGTCTCTTAATAGAAAAATCTAATTGAGTTACTAGACTGGTATGCAGCTCGTTGTGAGGAAGTCAAACAAGTAGTATTCAATAATACTCTTGAAAATAACCAAATGACTTCAACGGTCGGTCCGTCCTAGCTGGACTTTGGTCCATGATTCGCAACTGTCCATGAAATGTATGAATAATAATAAGTGGCAATTATGAATGTGTGATTAAAATTAATTTTTGACTGAATTTGTAAAACGTTTAGTCTCTGTTTGTCAACCAAATTATAAATTAAGTTAAAATCAAACATTAATTGTAGGATCACTACTATTTTTCTTACCACTCGTGTTGATAAATCATTATAAATTTACGAAAGGCATAATTTTTATTTTTTATTTTTTCCAAATGGAGGGTAAGGATTGAATAAATTAAACACGATTGAGGAGAAGACATTAAAAATTATTGAGGATAAGAAATTTAAGATATTATTGTTTAGATTCAGTTTTAATGTATTAAATATGTCTTAAAAGAGTACAAGTAAAACGTATATGACATGTAGCTGAGCAAGTTGACATATTAATTTAGTTTACTCGCCTAAGTCAATAATCATTATAAACATGTCACCTTCGCAATTAAGGAAGCTTTATTCGAAAGCAAAACTCCATTCCTTATTGCGATCAACAAGAGTTCTATGGAAGGGTGAAATAACACCCAAATTGGGTGGTGGCAACTAAACTTTACACAATAAAATATTTTATGAGAACTTATATATCGTGATTTTAAAAATTGATCTTGTCACGGCTTTATCTTTTTATATTCACAACTCTTGTCATAATTAACAAGTTTGAAACTTTTCAAGAAAGACTAAGAATTAGGTGTGAGATGAATCTACCCCTAATTGACTAGATGAACAAATATGCTAAAATTCTTGAGAGAACTATGTAGAAAGATATCAACAAAATGAACAATTATGCTAAATTTCTTGAATTTAAGGCCTTGAAAAACTTGAATTTGATTCCCATTAGGATTCAAAAACTAGGGACTAAAATCCAAACATACCATCATATGGCATGAATCTTAATCTTTGACCTTTTGTTGCAAAGCTTGTTTGTAGAATTCTAGATAAATCCTTATGATTTGAAACTTGTTTTCAATAGCCATCTATCAATCTATGGTTACCACCTTGAGTTTTTAGGATTATGATGCTTTTATATTTCAAAATCGAAGAGACGCACTAAAATCACATATTCACATGACATGATGACTTTGTACTATTTGTAGATCGAGTTTCTATTTTGAATTTGAATAATATTTCGATCTAATTAGATGTTAGGTGGCATGGTTTATTTATAATGAAAATGACAATACCTCTAACTAAAAGTGCAACAGAAGAAAACTTATCGT